CTCTCTCTCTCTCTCTCTCTCTCTCTCTCTCTCTCTCTCTCTCGCTTTCTTCGCCCGCGCGACGCGTCATCACGTCGCAGGAGTCGTCGAAATTTTACCGGAAACTCTCTCGCATAAAAAAATGTGCCTTAAATACGTCACGTGTGCGCGCGCGTTCTTAGATAGAGAGCTTCGTTTATCGGTAGGCAAATATACGCAAGCGTGTAGCGTTTAGAACTGTGCAATCAAAATTTCATTGTCTCTCGTTTGTTAACATCGTTCTTGGCTAGGGAGGAAGTGTAGCGAGGAGCGCTTCCGCGCGCGCGCGCTCTCCCCCGGCGACGGTCCTCCTCCTCAGACGTCATCTGATGGCCGCGAGGAGAACCGTCGAAAGATGCCTGTGTCCGGCATCCCGAAGAGAGAAGTCTCCGAGAGGAAGAACGAGGAAAGCCGTTGAATATGCGGGTATACGAGATGTGATATGTGACATTATATATTAGGTTTTTTCTTTGTATATATGATTGATTATATATTATATACAATTACCCAGGCGGTACAAGTCTGAGAAGTGTCTAAAATCGGCTCATAATACGTCATATTCTTGTTCTACAACTTTACTTTAAGACGCAAACAATTGTGGCCAATCACAGAAGTTCGTTGGAAGAATAATCGGCCGTGGGTGGTCAATTTGCTTACGTCTTAGAGCGCAAGTTATGTACGAGAGGGCTTGGTCTACAGTAAGTGTCTTAAGCCTTGAGAAATTGACAGTTGAATCCAATCACAGTGAGGGGAGAATAATCGACGTGATTGGTCAGTTACTCGAGTCTTGAGGTTTGAAACTATTGTAGACCTGGGCTTGAAGAAAGACGTCTTAATACCCGATTCAGACGTTGGTGCTGTCTGGACATATAATTATATCGTGTTATATCGTCGTATGACACATCGAAAAAAATCTGCATTACGTATCGTATGAGATGGGAGATATATGTGATGTCACGTATCACGTGCATGTCTTTGCAGCCGGAAGTATTATGAGAGAGAAACGCTTTTCTCGGAGAGAAGATCTATCGTTCTCGTTGACGTGCGATACGTCGATGGGGAAGATAATGAAAACGCAGAGAGCAGGATTCGTTCGTTCGTGTTCGCCGAGGTTTGTCGAGAATCTCACATGCGCAAAACGAAGAAATTGAGAGGAAAGGGGGACAGTCCCCTCCTCCCCCCAAAAAAAGAAAACCACGACGCGTAATTCGAGCCGATTGGGATTCCGTGATGATACACTTGGTACGATGTAGACGCTTTTCTCTAATGAGAGAATTTAGTTTCTGGGAGTCATCAGTAAATGGGTTCCTAGTTGAAACTAAACGTGCGTATGCTCGACACCGTCGAATGACGGCGAACCGGAAGGCAAAAGACGGACGGACAGACAGACGCGCGAGTCGGGTGTTCGCGCTCGGTTGTTACCGCGTCCCTCGCGCCGGGAAGCCGTCTACTTGAGATATTATATTATGCATGTAATTAAATACCAATATATATATATAGATAAACGGAAATAGACATCATACATCGTAATCTCTGTCCATATACGTGCATAAGAGTGCGTGAGAGAGTGACTTACTTAATTATCGATTTTACCGTTGTAATGTAGTCGCAACACCATCTTTTTTTTTCTTTTTTTTTTTTTTAGGTCTGCCATATTGTATATGTGTGTAACGATTAAGGAAAAAGATGAGACGGAAAAAGGAAAAAAAAACTCTTTCGAGTCCCGCCGCGTTATACACGGAAAACAAAAGGAAATCTGTACAGCCAATCAAGTGTGTCAAACGTTTATATTCGTTCTTCTTTCGATTTCGCCGTTACGGAATTTCTCCGGGAGGGAGAATCTCTCCTAGGATCACCGATGATGATAGAGCTCGGTCTTTCATGTATATGATGTAGCGTTGAGGAAAAAAAATATACACAAGGAAAAGCGTACAGCTACGCATTAGAGAGTGATCTGAAGTCTACTTAAGTTCACAGTGGAGATATAAATATATATATATATATATATATATATATATATATATCTCCGATATTTTATTATTGTACGTACGTAAGTAATCGATTCGACGAGAAACATGTATCACTGTTCTTGATTTGAGAGGGAAGTGAAAAAGAAAGAGGAAAAAGAAAATTAGCGATCTTCATACACGAGTTACTCGCGCGTTCTTCGCGCTAGACGATCGATTATCGATACGGATATGTATACTCTTTATGTATATGCTGTCTAATATATACATACGCGCGTAACAACGTAAATTATTACGCATATATACATAATGTATTATACATACGCACTGAACTCAGTCGAACATTTCTGTAAGGTACGAATAAATACGGCCGTGGTTTACTTTGTCTTCACGAGATGAGACGAGAGAGCGCGATGCACTTGTTTTTTTTTTTTTTGTTACATAACCGAGCCGGGTCTATTTTTAGCGCATCGTGCCGAGAGGAAGTAAAAAGGGTATTCGCGCGAAATTTGACGAAATTCTGAATCGTAAATGGGTCGCGATTGTTGCGAACAATCATACATATGGTATATTCGATTACTTTTTGTAGCCTCCTCACTAGCCAAACTGAAGTAAACACCGGCATGTGATTTATTTATATCCTGTTATCATATTTATGTACACGTGTATACATACAAAAAATTTACATAAGAAATATTATTGTATGTGCAGGCAATCTTGTTAGATCTTATGGCATGCGAATTTACATTTATTATTATAGTTACATATATATATATATATATATATATATATATATATAGTATATATGTATATAGAACTATATATATATATAGTTCTTTTGCCGAAATTTATTACGATATAATTTTTTAGTTTCATATTTTATTTTAATGTTGATAATATGTGCAGGATACGTGGCAATATTATTGTATAAGTGACAATGCAAAGCAATTATCCTGATTTGTCGAAATCTCCGCAAGATCTGAATGATTACGAAATCGTAGTACTGTACGCTACTTACAAGAGAGAGACAAAGAGAGAGGAAAGAAAAGGAAATAAAGCATAAGGGGGGAAATTCACGATGATATATATGCAGTGAAAGAGTGCAAACGAAAAATAGTTTACACAAATATGTATAAATACTACGATGAACGGCAATAAAAATATTTTTTCAATACTCGACACACTTACTTGACACTGCGACGGCACCAGCGCGTGCACGATCGTCTCTCTTTCCGTTCCGGAAGCATGCGTGAATGGGAGTATTCGATGCAGAACCACACACTCGACTTCTTGTATCGACTTTATTATAGATAAGGAGCCAAGTATCGCTCTATGTACAAAAGACGAAATGTCTCGCTGGATGGCTTCGTCAGCTTCATAGCCAATCAATTGTGGCCAATCACTTTGCTACACATCACTTCACTTAAATTGCGAAACGCATTCAGTTACTACAAAACTACTGAGCTCTTGAATCTGATTATATACTTTCAAAACTACTGAGCTCTTGAATCTGATTATATACTTTCAAAACTACTGTACTGCATTGTGTGCAAAACTAAAGGAATATGCGAAAGCTCAGTGAGAGGGTGTAGCACTGAATGCACTCATTCACTGAAATTACTTTCCGCGTTAGGTCGCGTAAGATTAAAGTTTTTCTCATACACACATGAATTGCCATAAACATGAAAGTCAAGTGATTGGTCCATTTTTCTCTGTCGCTTGCGTTTTCCCACGCGTTTTGCCGCAAACTTGCTACCGAATATCTCGTACACGGACTATGGAAGCGGTCGGAGAAGATTCGATCGACTTTCTCGGAGCATCCTCGCGAATCTCTTCACATAATCGACCTCGGTAGCCGATAGAGACCGCCGGTGAAGAGTAACTGATGCTCCCGCACCTTCCTGTCGAGGAAGTGCTTCAACTCGGGCAAGCCGCACTCCACGGTGCCCGGGCCCTGCCCTGACGCGAACATTTTCAGCATCTGGTGGATTCTTTCGAGCGGCATGGAGTCGAGATTCGTTAGCATCCCGACAATGTACGACCAGAACACCTGAAGCTCTTCCTCCCGCTGGTCACTGGCCGAGGCCATCGCGCTCTCGGTCTCCTCCTCGTCGACGATGTCCGCCGGCAAGCGGCTCATATACGTGTTCTCCTCCTGCAGTACGTACACGTCGCTCGTCGTCTCCTTCAGCAAACCCTGCGACACCCAGAACGCCATCTTGCGCCGTAGCACAGTCGGTGGAGCGTGCATGACTTCCGCCAGATCCTCCAGGGTCCATTCGCCTGCGAAAAGCGGTCCCGTTGTAAATTTAAATATCATAATTAAAATCAATTGTGAATTAAGTCGAAAGATCCTGAACTACTTTTCCGCTGATTCTTAATGAAGAAGATATTAAATAAAGTTCAGTCGATGCGGATGCAAATGTCTGTTTCAAGTTCCTCGATTTCCGCTAAAATTCCCTGAAAATTCCCGACTTTCCAGGCATAATAGACATTCTGATACCTCACGGCCCTTTAAAGGCTTACTTATACCACACCTATACAGGTTCCGGACTTACTCTTGTCTTGGTAGTGGAGGATAATAGTCGCATGGACAGGCGTAACGTTAATATCGAGCTTCCTGCCTTTCAGCTCGATTTCCAGGTTAACGTTGCCCAAGTGCGGCTTCCAGCAGAGCGTTCGGTTGCCCTTGAGCGCCTCGAACGCTTTCACGTATCTATTCAGCTGATCCTGCACGACACTCGGCAGCTCCAGCTTCCAGTCCTCCTTGAAGGGCGGCCAGAACTGCGCGGAGAGTATGAGTGCCGACGTGGGGAAGTGTTCACGCTGCAAGTTGTAGCTGGTGTCCGAGTGAATGTTGCCGTCTATCCTCTTGGAGTCGTACACGTCCTTGAGCATGACCTCGCAGTAGTGCAGCTGGTTCTCGCCGAAGCGCCTCTTCAGCAGCTCCAAGTGACGGATCTCGCGCTCAGTGTGGTAATTCAGCTGTGACAGCAGTCTGTCCGCGAGCAAAGTGCGGTACTCGTTTACGAACAGGTCCTGGCTGCCGTAAACGTTTACCAACGACGAGATTATGTCGACGTCCTTACGCTGGCTCGATTTACCTGCCGAGGACGAATTCATCCGATTGAGAGAGAAAGAAAGAGAGAGAGAGAGAGAGAGAGAGAGACTCACCGAGATCGTTGACCTACGGGGTCTTCTTTTTTCCGTCTTACTACTGGATATTCACGAGAACTCACCGGGGTCGGCGTCCACCGGGTCGGGCATCCACTTCTCCCAATCCTCGGTCTCGTCGTCCGCCGAACCATCGTCCAGCTGCAGGCACTCACCCTTCGCCAATTCGTCGGCCAATTCGCTGGGCGAGTCGTCAAGTAAGCTGTTGACCACAGAGCGTACGGTGTCCTCTCGACTCTTCAAATAAGTCCTGAAGATGACGAAGAAATTCGAGCGAAATGCGAATGGTGGGTTCTATTTAGGTGTTTCGGTTAATTCGGAGGGTTGACGTTAGATGCATCACTGGATGAAGGTTCGACTCAAACGTTCAGAGAACTTGCAGAGAGATTGGTCGAGTCACGGACTGTGTACGATCGTTTAGAAGCCATGGAAAAGGTCGAGAAGAGAGGAGAATGGAAGGGGGGAAAAGCCCCTTGATATTAACCGAAACCCCTAATATACTTCACGCTGGCATGCGCGAAGAAGACGGGACGAGATCAATTTCACTTGACGGGCTCCGTCACGGTCTCCAGGAGAACTCCGGTCGAGTCCAGGTGTTTGAGCGCCTTGATGGCGGCGATGTAAGCGGTCACTATGTCGGGCGTGTTGACACCGGGATGCAGAAGCCGCGTCTTGATCGCCTCCTGCAGCGTGCTGACGAGAAATCTACGCAGATCGGTCCGCTCCAGGCAAATCCGGAGGTCTTCCACCGCGGCTTGCGACTCCGGATACTCTTCGGGGGAAACGAGAATTATCGACTGTTGTAACACGACAGGGTGGAGGACGTACCTATTATTATGCTGAAGAGATGATCGACCCTGATCTTGATGTACGTCTCGTACAGGAAGTGAGACAGTTTTCGCTTGAACGTGTTTATGGCGTGGCGGACCTCGTCGCTGAGCGCCACCGTTTTTGAAAAGCCGCCGGAGTAGATGCGTATCAGCCAGCTCATGACGACGGTCTCGAGCCACTGAGAGCAAGTGAAGATGCAACCAGTCAATGCGCATACAGAGTCCACGTTTAACTAATTTAATGTTAATATTACATATATATGCATATGAAAGAATTCCAAGAATTATCGGGAATTTTCTTTCAGATTCGAATAGACATTCTGCGTACACGCTATGTTATCTAATAAGATTATTTCATTATTTTATATTATCACTTTCTTTATTATTTGTATTATTGAACATTTCGCTATTTGGTAATATTTTAATATTAATATATACGTGCATACATGCACGATGATAACTGACTCACGTTTTCTAGCGGGATCAGTTGAGACACATCAAACGTCTTGTCGCACGACTGAATCACGTGATTCTCGATGCGAATGTGAATTAACGACGTGAGGACGTTCCCCACGAGCCTCTCCAGCAGCTCCAGCTCGATCAGCTTTCTGTTCGTCTCATGGAACATGTAGACTATCATCTGGCATTGGCATTTCTCCACCTCCTGGCTGCATCCTGTGCACTGCACCTCGTTGAGCGACGTTCCTTCTTTGTCTGCTTAGAAACGCTTCTGTGATGTTTCATACTCTTACAAGGCGAACCTCAAGCATTCAAGACTCGATCGATTATAGTCGTAATTTACCTTGGGGCAAGTTATCGGTGTTGCAGAACACATTGAAGGCGATCTTGTAGAAGTGCTCGACGATGCACTCGTGAGACAGAGGTAGCTGGCTCATCAACGTCGCCCTCACGATCAGTTTGAACTGTGCCTGAACGCTGTCACCGATGGCCGGTGGATCTCTGACGCTCTTGTCCTGCTTCAAATACTCCAACTTTTTCAGAAGCGGTAGAAACTCGACGAGACTGCCGTACAGCTCGTCCACGGCAGACTTGAAGCACTCGAAGCCCCGTTGACTGTCCTCCGTGTTCTCGAATCTCTTCCAGAACAACGGCGCTACGTGCCAACGAATGTGCCGTTCTATGTTGTGAAAAATCACATCGTTGGCCATCGATACCAGATTCAGGGCTCGTATCTCCTTCAGTATCTCCTCGGCTTCCTCTTCTGTGCACACATCTTCGGTCTGCAACGAGGCAATTAATGCAAGTTACCGTGAAAAGTTTCACCGTAAACGCGCTCGTCAGGACACGACTCGAACTCTGTGGACGCATCCTTTTAATTCTTAACGGACTATTGTCTGTCAAAACATAGATAAACGCGACTAAGTTCATCGTCTGCTCGGAGGAAGTTGCGTACTTGTATATATTAGTTGTACCTTGACTGGTACCGGAAAGGTACGTTCTATACGGGAGAAGATATCTCCGCGATCGAGATCGCGTCCGAACTCCGCTTCCGCCATGACGCGAATGAAAACAACTTCACGAGCGGCCGAAGAAAGACAGGTTATATTTTCTTTCTCCCATTTCGAAAAGCTGCGTCCTGAAAACACAACGTTTGAATAACTCGTCAACGTGATTAGTCGAAATTCAGGGATCTAAGAAACTGAAGATTAACCAATCAGAGCGGACAGTTTCTGGTAAGTTACTAGATCTCACTAGGTCTATCGAGAAAACAAGCATCGTGTGACGCGGATTTTAATTTTTTGTCTGACGATTCAAATAATACGAATAATCCGTCAGCTCTTATTCATATCAAAATATCGACACATGAAAAGAGACTTGGATATTTATTAGCAATTTCAGCGAAGAAGAAGAAAAAAGGTATGTTTGTTCTGACATTATTGGTTGTAACAGGTTACGGGGAGGGTTAGGTTAAGTTGAGTGTATGTGTGTGTGTATTGCGTATACCACATCTATTCAACATTATACCTGGAAAAATTTTAATTTTGATCCAATACCAATCAAGGTACATTGATATACGCAAAAGTATACAAACTTTCTCTGGGCACACCGATAGCCTTTGCCCCGCGTTTATCTACGTTTTGAAAGAACAACCTATGAAACCGCACGCTAAACCCAACTCCAAACACACATCTTGACAACAAGGTGTTTATCAACGTAAGTTACACGGTGAAACACGTTTTAGGCTCTATCAAAGTTCATCGAGCTCGATAATATCATAAAGTCATAATTTTAGAATGCAATCTCGATTTATACGAGGAATTAATAACGGTACAAACCGGGAAGAACATGTTCTTCATTTCAATGTAAATCCTCCAAACTTTAACTTATATAATCTCTCTCTCTCTCTCTCTCTTTTCAGGACTATTTTGACTGTGTCCAGGTGCGCACGTTAATTATAATACAGGCATATATGGAGGACCTACAGTTTAACGCCGGTTCCGAACGACATATTATTTAAAGAGGTTATCTTAGCAAAGAAACTACACCTACTATTCCTTTTTTCGGTAAGTTGCCGCTTCGTTCCGAGTGTAAATATTTTGGCTTCTACCGTGGGAATCGAAGCCGGAACCGCTGGCATAGTAGACCAGTACACTCTCTGTTATGCCACGCTCCTGCTCTGACTTACCAAACATCATTTACTGAATAAATAAGTTCCGATAGTATTAATTATAATATCATGCACGGTGGAGAGAAACCTGCGAGTGGGCCATTTGCTGCATGTCAGAGTGATGATGATGATGATATATATATATATATCTCTCTCTCTCTCTCTCTCTCTCTCTCTCAGAAATCATTGTGAAAATACTCTTACTTCGATAAAGTATATACTTTTATTTCCAGAGATATAAGCATGAAGATACCTTCCTTCAAATACAGAAATGCGATCCTGGGCGTGACCGCGACTGCGGTCGGCTATTATGCGGTTCTCACGCCGCATACTGTGTTCTTAGACAAGTACAGATACATAATGGCCAGACACCAGTAAGTAATGGAAACTCCGATGGGAATATTTTGCCGAAGATACTGTGAAACCAATGAAAGGTGAAATGTAGTTGTTGAAAAATTACTGAACATAGGTAAAAAGGTCAATTGAGGGAGAATTTCGGTAAAATTTTCAGCATCATATTTTCAGGGGAGTAATGAAAACATTCTGAAACAGATTAATTTATAAACATTAGGATAGAAATATTCGATGATATTGTCATAAAATCTGTCGAATATAATCGAAAACTGCCTGACTTCCCGAAGAAGAATTGCTGAAATATCAATTAATCTTTTACTGAAATATTCATCAAATGATGTTGCAGAATAGGCAAGGAGGTGCCGCTGAGCCCGAGGATCGAGAAGACGATTCAGCGGGTGATGGACGACCTGAAGCTGCCGGACAACGTGAGGAACGTCATCAAGCCCTTCAGCGTGTTCGGCTTCGAAGTATTCCAGGCGGGCACACTGGGCGCCAAGTACGGGGCGGTGTTGGGGATCCCCATAAACTTCACCAGAACGTCGGAGAAGCTGCGGCAGGAGATACAAATCAAGGAGGAACCGTTGGACTGGTCGCGGCAGGACACGAGGGTCTTCCTGAGCTCGTTGTCGATGTCGGAGAGCGCGAGGAAGTTCGCGATAGCCCGGGAAATCCTGCGGATTCAGGCGGAGGAGCCTTGCTTCAACTCCCTCAGACTGGCTATGATCGTGGGCGTGCTGTGGGCCCTCTACAACGTGATAACGCTTCGCTTTCAGTTGCGCGAACGCAACGTCATATTCTGCCGGTCGTTGTACTTGAGCTTCACGCTGCTCGGCGCGATCTTGTGGATCGGCATCAAGGATTACCGCAGCTATCGCTTGGACATTGTGCACGACCGGACCCTGTACAGTTTGGGGAGCGAGTATGCGATGGGCGGGCAAGAGTTCTACGAGAAGTTACTGATGAGGAACCGAGCTCTGAGGTCTCTGCTGGGGAATGACGGCGAAAAGCAGTACACCGCCAACGGGAACGAGCGGATTTTCCTGCGGCAGAAGCATATGCCGATCACCCACAGGAAGGACTTCTTCGATTCGCATGTGGAGTTGGATTGAAACTTGGATTATGTATGATATGACGTAACGGATGAGAAGATAAGGATGACAAGTGCGTAGCGAGGCTCCTCTCTCGTACTAGTCCATCCGATAATGACCTGAAGCAGCGATCGTGTAACTTTTTATCTAAAAACCGGTTTCCTATTTTCTGGTTAACTTATGATTTAGGCATAAGAAAGCGCGTCAATAACATACCCGATGTGCGCACATTTGTAATTATTAGTTCGTAATACTTGTAACCACATATCGCTCCTCCTCTTTCCTCCTCATCTACCAACTACACATTTAGACAAGGAAAGCAACACTGCCTCTGTCGCTCTCTCTCTCTCTCTCTCTCTCTCTTAATGATGCCGGCCTCAGCCCTCCAATGAGAATGCTCAGTCTGTTTTATATGCCTATGTCTATTGATAATGTAAAAATGTTTATCTATTCATGGTTAATAATTAAACTTGAAAAGTTATCACTATAAAATCATCAGTTTAACGAACCATGAGTGGAAAAATCATTTCTGCTATTATCGCCAGATTAAGTCTGAACCGAAGGTTAATCAAAAAATGGAAAACCAGACCTAAACGTGAAAGGCGCCAAGTTTCACGTGAACTCGACTCGAACGACCATGTAACTCTTTGAATTATGGAAATGATTCCTGGTCAATGATTACTAGTCTTTACCGTTAGATCCCTAAATTTTGACCAGTTATGTGGACGAATTACCGTTGTGCAACCGTTGTGTTTTCTGAGCGCAACCAACGCGTGACTTTTCGCTTTCAAGGAAAAGTTACGTGATCAACGGCCCGGATGATTTGACGCTGCTAACCGTAACATGTGGTCATCAATGGTTGTCACGCGTGACATTTGTATGATACATGTATATTTTCTATTTCATCGTGACAATGTCGACCGTGTCACGGCGCGAAGCCGCTACGGCAGTAGGTTATAACAAAAACCCCCGCCGGTCAGTTAAAATCTCGCATTCACGCGGTGAACACGCGTTATTAATTACAGTGTATATTTATACATGCGCGTCGCCTCTTGTACAACATTGTTACACGTACATACGAAATATTGCTACGGCCTTAAATGTAAAAAGTTTGCCTATCGTAAAAGAGTAGTAACCTCCGACAAGTGTGTCGATAGCATAATCTACTTTCCTCCTCGCGCACGTTAAATCACAGGTAAGGGCATGTCTCGTATAAATTATCAGCGCCCGTATAACATAAGCTATATATATATATATATATTATACAAATGTATGTATATATGTATATAACGTGTCGTCAAATTAATATTTATAAAAATCTGCAATTGCGTGTTATATATATCTCGCGTTATTCTCGACACACTCCCTCTCTCTCTCTCTCTCTCTCTCTCTCTCTCTCTCTCTCTCTCTCTTTCTATACTTTGTACAATTCTCACTCACGCCTCTCTGTATAGCGAGGATAACGAGTGACTGCAGGCTTTGTGCACCTCTATACAGATTATCTCCACCAAGTTGCGCTTCCTCTCGGATTACGTAAGTCCTAGTGAGCCGAACTGCAGAGAGATTAAGTATGTGTTAGTCGTATGGTAATACAAAAACAGGATGTCTGGTCGAACTCGAAGAAAAATTTCTTGAAAATTCCCCGATTTTCTAGACAATTTGTTTAAAGTTTCGAATGAAAATGAAAGTAATTTTAAGTGCATTTCGCAAATAAATATGTATTTATCGTGCAGCCCCCTTAATATTTTTCATTCACAAAAGTTCAGAAATCATAAAATGAAACTAAGAGTCGCTCGAGTTTCAGTAATTAAATTTGAACAATTTTTAAGGAAACTGTAAGGTCTCTAAGAAATAAATACTTTATATCGCATGAAATTTTTAAATTTCATTTTAATAAATTACTGACGAAACTGTCCATTAAAAATTCCCTGATCTTCTTAGAAATAAACGAATTCCAGATTTTCCAGATTTTCCCAAGCGGTAAACACCCTGAATAATTATGTAAATCCGCAACTCAGTAACTCTTAAGAAGAGCGCTCTCGACCACGACGACTCTCTCTCTCTCTATCTCACCAGGGTCAGTTTGTCCTCCTCCTTCTTCATGATCTTCGAGGTTTGCTCCTGGTCGAACTTGACGACGGCGGCGATCACCCGGGCGAGCACCATGGTCTCCCGTCCCATCATGTACTCGAACAGAATGTTCCTCAGGTACTCGATTTCCGTGGAGTCCTCCAGGGTGTCGTGGCGCAGCTTCACCAGCTTCCTGAGCTCCGCGATCTCCCGGCGCTGCGACGTCAGGGTCTGCTGCATCGTGTGAATCGAACCGGTGTTCGTCTGGATCGTGGCCATCGCCACGCACGACGTGCTCTCCAGTTCCTACATCAGATCCGCACTTCAGTAAAAAGTCTCCCGCGAATCGATCGAACGACGCCGCTCTACGAGAGCCGTATGTAAGACAGAGAGGAAGGGCGAGACGTAACACGAAAGATCTATGCCTCGGGGCAGGAGGAGAAGAGAAAGAAAAAATAAAGAGAGAAAAATGAAAGAAGCTTTACCTCGGCAGCTGCTTCGGTTTGTACATCAGGCTGAAAACAATGCGAACGCATGAACGTAAATGAACGAAGATCCAGAGTCGTTAAATTAAATAAAAATAATATGCGTTATGCATATACAGGGTGAGGCGACAACTACTACCACCTTGAATGTCTTCGAATAATAAGAATATCTTATTAACGATTAGACGAAGGCGTGGGAGCGGCTTGGCTGCCAAAAATAGCATTCTTGAAAAGGTAAGAAAATAGTGAGCCAGCTGAAGAAAAAAAAAAAAGTAAAAAGGGAATTTTCTAAATAATTTATCAAAAATTGCTTATTTATACTTATTATACTACTCCCCTAAGAGATTAAAAATATTGATTTTATAGTAAAAGTCAATGAAGAACAAAATATGAATTTCGGAAAACAGAAGAGCTATATAGTAAAAGTAAGATGTGTGAAATTTTCTCAAAAGCGAAGAAAAGTGAAATGTTTCTATATAAGTGAAGAAAAGTGAGAAAAGTGAATCGCTCCCATGCCTGCTAGATGGAGAGAGATGAAGAAAGTTTACATCTGCGGAAGGTGTCCGAAATGACGATTATTATCGATGCAATTTCTATTAGATACATTTTCCTCCCACTCGTATCTCGCAGATATTCAAGATGATAACAGAGAGTTATTATCTCATCCTATATATAAATATATATATATGAAGCAAATATAAGAATATATATAAAAAGCGCGTACTAGTACATTTACACACATGCTGAGAACGAATTCGTGCCGAATCCATCTAAATAATCCGTTTAATCCATCATCTATCTTACTTATCATCTATCAATCTAACTATCAATTTACCTATCTATGTATTCAATATTCCAGTTCGACCTTACGCACGAGCTCACCTTCCTCTCGTTCTGCCACTCCTTCGTCAGCTCGTTCAACTCCTCCTCGTGTTTCGCCTGCAGATTGTCGATTCTCTGCTGCACCATGGCCTTCCATTTCTTCTCCACCTCGCGGATCTCGTTGGCGTGCTCCTTCTTAATCTGCGCGATCGTCTCCACCAGGCGATCGATGTCCTTGCTCTTCTCCGCCACCGCGTCCTTCTTCTCCAGCACCAGGCTCTCGATTTGCTCGGATTTCTCCGTAAGCTCCGTCTGGAAATCTTTCAGCTGCTCCTTGTACTGCTGCACGAGGTCAGACGCGTAATTGTGTTGGCGATCTATATGTGAAAAATTCCACGTTGACTATTGTAACACACACATCGACACTCAGAGAGGTGTTTTATTATTACTGTTATTATATTATTTTATTTTATACGTATACATTCTTTTATATAGAATTATATATACATACAAAAATACAATGTAATAAAATTGTTATTGTGATTCATATATATAATTATTATCATAATATTATGTTAAGGAAATATAACTGCCATTTAATATCTGAATATAGTCAGGGTGTCTACTGAGAATCGAAAAAGAAGTTCCCGGGAGTTCCTTAATTTTCCAGACAATTCAATGAAACATTCCTCACCGAAACGTTTCTCCAACGCAGCCTGCAGCTCCTCTTCCTTGTCGTGCAGCTGCGCCTGGAACTCCTTGACCAGCTGCTTCAGCCTCATGCCCTGCTCCTCCTCGTTGGTCCTCGCCTGCTCCTTCAGCTGGTCCAGCTGCTCCCTCAGTTCATCGCTCGCCAGCTGCATCTGCGTCTCCTTCGCCTGGAATGTGATCAGCGCCTCGTCGAGCTGCGCCTCCAGTCTCTTGTTCTCCTCGCGCAGCTTGTCACCCTCCTCACGGTCCTGCTTGTTCTCCTCCAGCTCCTTCCGCACCGCTTCGAGCGACTCGACCTTCGCCTGCAACTCGGCGACCTTCTCCCTCAACGCGTCCGCTACCCGCGACTTCTCCTCGACCTCCTGGATGCAACGATGCTTAAGAGCCTCGACCTCCCGCGACACCTCGCCGCTCTCCACCTCCAGGGACTTCACCTCCGCCTCTCTCTGCGACAACGAGTCCCTCAAGACGCTCAGCTTCGCCGACGAGTCGTCGCTCGCCGAGCGTAAGGCGTCCATCTCCAGCCGCAGTCGCTCGTTTTCCACGCTCGAGGCCTCCAAGCTAGACACCGTGGACCGCAACTCCGTGTTGCTGCTCTTCAGATCTTCCGTCTCGGCGACCAGTCTGTCGTTCTCCGCCCGTAAAGCGTCCACCTCGACGCTCTTTCCCGTCAGGTCGGTCAGTTGCGCGCGCAGCTGCGCGTTCTCAGCCTCCAGCTGCTCGACCCTGCCGACTTCGACCTTGAGCGACTCGAGCTCCACGAGCAGCCGCTCGTTCTCTTCCCTCGCGACGTCACCCCGCCTCACGGCGGCCTCCAGCTCGGAAAGCTTGCCTCGCAGCTCGGCGTTGCGCTCGTCGAGCCTCTCCTCGGTCTCCCGCAGCTTCCTCTCGCTCGTCAGCAGTTTCTCGCTCAGCGAACTCGACTCCGCGCTCACCGCCGCCAATTGGTCGCTCAAACGGCCCGCCTCCTCGGCTCGACCGCTCGCCTGGGACTTGCACGCCTCCAGCTCTCTGCGTGACTCTTCAAGGTCCCTCACTTGGCCGTTGATCTTCGACTTCAACGCCTCCTCGTTCTCGCAGAGCTTGCGATTCTGGCTCAGCAGATTGTTATGCTTGTCCTTGAGGTCCTTGTTCTCCAAGGCGATGGTCGCCAGCTGCGTATTCTCCGACTTGAGGGACTCGATCTGCCCTGAGGCGGCCGCCAACCTGTCGGTCAGCTCGCCGTGCTTGGTCCTCAGCTGCTGCAGCTCGGCGTTCATCTCCTCGATGGTGTTGCCTTGCTGGTCCTTGAGAGCCTTCAGCTTCTTCAGCTGCGCGATCTTCACGCCGAGGGTCCCCTGCAGCTCCTTCAGCTCGACCGTCTGCTCCGCCTGCCTCTCCCTCGTCGCCACGCACTCCACCTCCAGATCCCGGTACTTCCTCCGGTGCTCCTCGATCGCCTCCACGTGACTATCGCGGGCGAAGATCAAGTCGGCCATCTGCTTATCGATCCTCTTGTCTCGATTTCTCACTTCCTGCTCGATCGTCTGTATGCGACTGTCGCGCGTCTCGATCTCGCGCTCCTTCGCGAGCAATACTGCGCGCAGCGCGTCCCGTTCGCTTTCCTGCGCCTTCATCAAGTCGATGAGCTCGTTAGCCCCGTCCAGCTTCCGCCTCAACTCGTTCACTTCGTCGGCAGTGCGACTAACCTGCGCGAGCTCCCGCCTCAGGTGGTCGTTCTCGCTCGACAAGGCCTGGTGCTCGAGCTTCAGGCCCCCCAGTCGCTCCCGCAAATTCGCCACTTCCAATCGAGACTCCGTCTGAGAGACCTTCTCCAGGTCGTAGACCTTGAACTGCAGGTTATCCATCTCTGCTATCAGTTTGTTGACCAAGGCGCCGAGCTGGTCGGACAGCTCGTCGCTCTGCGCCATCGATTCCCCCTTGCTCGCTTTCAGCATCGTCTCTAAGGAGGACTTAACAGCCGTGATCTTGTCCAGTTCCGAGCGCAGTCGCGCCTCTTCCTCCGAGTCCCGCGCCCGGCAACTCGACGTCGCCCTCTCCTCCTCGAGCCTGGTCAGACTCGCGGCGAAGGTGGCGGTCAGAGCCGCGCTCAGACCCGACATCTCGGCGCGCCGGCTTGAGAGTTCCTCGCTCACGGCGGCCTTGACGTCGGCGCAGTCCTGCCTCAGTCGGCGCACGCAGTCCCTGTAGTGGACGAGCCGGTTGATCAGGTCGCTGCGCTCCTTCTTCAGCAGGTTGATGGCCGAGCTGTCCGCCTGGACCTTGTTGCCGAGGTCGTCGACGGTGGACCGACAGAGCTCGAGCTCGCCGCGCACGGCGTTCAGCTCCGACCGTTTGCCCTCGAGTTCCTGCCGCGCCACGACGAGCTCGTCCAGCTGGCTCTTCAAGGACTTGATCTGCGTCTCCTGCTCGGCCAGCCGGTGCTTCGCCTTCTCGAGCATCGTCGCGTACTGCTGCACCTTCTTGTTGTAGTTCTCGCACACCTGGTCCCGGTCGATCAGCGCGCCCCGCATGTTCTCCAGCTCCTTGTCGACGCTCTGCACGGTCGCCTGCAGCTTCTCGATCGTCGCCTCCGCGTCTTTCCGCCTCTCCTCCGTGACGATCCTCTGGGCGTCGTGCTCGCTCCGCAACTCCGAGTACCTCGACTTGTAGTTCGACAGCTCGATCTGGAGCGTCTCCTTGTCGTGCCTGTGCTCGACCACCTGCTTCTCCAGCTCGTCCAGCTTGCCACGCAGTTCTTCGAGCTCAGCTTCCCTCTCACGCAGTGTTGCCTCCTCCGCATCCTCGCTTCTCGGCGACTTCGCCGGAGCCTCTTTACCGTGATCGACCTCTTCCCGCTGCATGGACGCCTTCACGGAGCTCTCGGTTTTCTCCTTGGGCGCGTCGTGCGCGGCCCCGACGGGACTCGAGTCGACCTGCGACCTTGACTTCGCCGCCGCCTTGAGTCGCGTCACCGCCTCGTTCGAGGCCTCCTTCTCCTTGGCCATGTGCTTCAGGTCGAGCCGAAGCTGCTTGATCTGCTCCTCCTTTTCCTCGAGCTCCCGGTGCACCGACAGCTTGTTCTCCGCCAGCGAGATCGCCGACTCCTCCTCGCGTTTCTGCAGCACGCTCACCTGCTCGGTCAGATCTGCGACCTCGGCGCGAGCCGCGCTCAGCTCGCCCTCCGTCGCGCTTATCCGCTCGGCGGTGCCGCTCTGGAGCGCCTCGTACTCGCTCTCCAGTGTGTTCTTCTCCTTCATCACCTCGGTGAACTTGTCCTTGTTGCGCTTCAGGGACTCCTTGTATCTCAGCACGAGGCTCTCCAGCTTCTTCATCCTGTCGTTCAGCTGGGCGTTCTCCGCCAACAGAGCGTTGCTCTCCCCGTCGGTCGACGGAGCGTTGGATTCGTTGGTCAGGTCGATCAGGTTCTCCTTCGAGCTGTCCTGCTCGGCCGCCTCCCGCGGCACCGAGTTCTCCAGGGCCGAGCCGCTGGTCTGCAGCAGCCTCACCTTCGTGTTCAACGTGTTTATGATATGGTCCTTCTCCTCTATGTCGTTCCTCAGCGCCTCCTCCAGGTGCGCCTTCGCCTGCTGCTCCAGCTGACACTGCTCCTTCAGATCAGTGATCCTTCGCAGCACCTTGTCCTGCGTCTCGACCAACACGGACTCCAGCCTGGTCTTCACCCGGTCGAGCTCGCGATAATGCGCCGCCAGGTCGGTGTACCTGCCGCGATACTTGTGATACTTCGCTTGCACCTTGCGGTAGGCCGAATACAATTGGTCCTTCGTCACTCGGTCCAGGTGCGGACTGATAGTCTCGTCCACCTCGCTAGCAGACTGATCCATATCGGACTATAAGGAGAAAATCCTTGATATCGTGAGGAATCGCAGTAATAACACGCAGATTACATCCGTAGATATCAGACATTTCAGATTATAGCATATGTAGAAATGAACGAAGTTTCAGTAATTACAACACACATCAGGAATGATTCAGTAAACAATCTGTTAACAGCCTGCTGATGGATTGGTGGCAGACTCGATCAGGTTCGATCGGATCTACATTTGTGTCAATATTCAGCTCACGTTCTACCGGCAGAGTCTGCTGACAGAATCTGACAGCAGATTGGCGGCGGAAACCGGGCAAAATTTGCAATATGTTCCATATTGATACATCGGAACGACAGATTCGGCTCAGTTTCTGCCAGCAGTAAGTAATCGTACTCTGCCACCAAATCCTGTTTTATCTCTGCTAGCAGGCCGCCGGCAGATTTTGCGCGAGATCTGTTTCTGCGCGTTTGGCTGTCCGGCTATCATAATTTACAGCGGTGTAAGTGTAACCCCCCCGATACTAGAGGAGAGAAAATGAGACGCACCTGCAGCTGATACAGGTTAGGAGGGCTCTCGTACATGGGGAATAACGAAGACGCGTCGCTGGTGATGCTGCTGACCGAAGATCTCCTGGAAACCTCCGCGTTAGCGGACGGCGACATCAGATCGATATTCTGGAATTTGTGCCTCACCGGGGTGTTCTTCGGCGTTTCTGTAAACGAGATGCCCCGCTAGTCTCTGAACCGTCTCGGTGAGGTGTTCCCCATCAATGTAAGGCAAAAGTGCCTGGACACACATTCTTGTTGCTTTGGTTTTTAAATATGAATATTCAAACTTTCAACACACACACACACATATACATACATATATATATTGAATATATGCAAATATCTTATGTTTAAAGACCGAACATTCGCATTCAAAGATCAAAACAAGGGAGTCCACAGTTAGGCATGTGTGCAAGCATCGGCACTTTCCCCGTTAATCGTCGGAAAGCCAGATTGTTTACCGTCTCCATCCTCCGTCAGGCTGAAGTTGTCGTTCGATGCTGACACCTCCTGAATAGAGCTGTTGGACAAGGCCGGCGACACGACAGCCTGGGGACAACGCGACAAAAGAGAGGTCAATCAGAAAGAGTGTTTTCACGTTCGTCGTTCGTGTCGAATGTAAGTGGAGAAAACCTGCCTGCGCCAATTGTTGCACACTCGCCTGCAGCCTGGCGGGCGACTGCTTCATTTCCTCCGTGAGTTTGTCCTTCAACTTTTTGAACATCCTGGCGTGCGGGCGGCTCTATCACAGACGACGGGATGCGATGAGCGGGATCAAAGCTCGCTGAGAGCAGGGCAGCTCTGAGCTACGCGATGTTTACGTGGACGCGGGTCGGGATTGGCGACAGATAGGGGAGCGTAGGTTCCGTAGGGAATCCGTGTTACGACGGGACGAAACGCGGTAAACATAGCGGGATCGCGACTCCCTCTTTCTCCCTCTTTCTCTCTCTCTTTCTCTGTGCCTTCGCCGTCTCCGCTCGTCTCGGCAGGTTCCTCGTGAGCCGGATCCTCGCGAGCGAAACGCTATTCCGAAAGGCCCGCTGGAAAATCAGCGCCGAGCTACATTCCCCGATTACAGTGCGGACGTCAGCCGCAAGTGCGCGGGTGTGTGTGTGCATGCTCAGCCGCCATTACGAGCGTGGGTGCCCGGTGACGTCAGAGGCTGGGCATCAGAGGCCGTTTACAAACGGCTGATCCGTTCGCTCCCGAGTGACGTACCGTGGCGTGACGATCGCGAGGGGCCGCGAGGTGTCGCGAATTCCGCGTTATCTCTTCCGCCGGAAGTCGCGACGCTGGGCGGGGAAAAAAGGTTGTGGGGATTTTTCTCGGCTATTGCGGTCGAAAAGAAGGTGGGAAGCCGACGGACGTGTCCGTTTGTAAGCCATTCGTCGTCTGTTGAGAAAAGTAAGGAGAAAAGGTTAGAAATTTGTAGCGAAACTATTCGCTAAACACGCACTTTGTGATAATTAATTTAGGGTGTCTGCTGGAAATATCTGGCATCCTCGGGGAATTTTATTTTTGAGAATCGCGGAATTTTAGGTAGATTTGGCTGCGGACTATATTATCGCGTTGTTCATAGACGCGTATTGATTGACTGAATTTGATTTGATACTTCCTTCATGAAGAATAATAGAAAAATATAGTTCAGGATTTTTCGGCTTAATCTCTTCGATTCATTAATTTTAATTGATAGAAATAATAGCATTATATCGATCGAACTTATCCTATAAGCGCGTAATGTTCTTAGAATATTATATGAATATTATTAAATATTAAAATAATATTCTCATATTTTAAGAATATACCCAGAATATTACTTAATATTAAATATTACCCGCTTAGAGGGACTGTGGGTTACTCGAGCACAAAAACTCAAAGCGTAAAAACATTATTTTGAAGCAAGTACGTCGACCATTCTGTCCAGTGTATCGCGGATACGCTTGAAAAGTACAACGCGTTATGAATATTAATCGAACACAATCTAGCAAGGAAGGAATCTTCCAACAGCCGCGCTAAATCGCTTCGAAGAGCGGTAGATACTTCCAATTCAAAATCACGCGCCTAAACGACGTTCAGGTTAGGTTCGTTCGATGGATCGAAGCTGAAGGTCGACTTCGCTCCGGAATACAGAACAGCATTTAAAAAGACACAGAGGCTTCTATTATTCTTTATTGCTATTGTACACTTAAAATAAATAACGCTGTAACACTCGCCGCAATACGTAACATTGTCAATTACTATACGGCGATCATCTCACCTCGACTCGCGTAACATTTTTGTTCTTTTTTCTTTTTTTTGTATTTTTTGCCTCTCGTTTTCAGTCACACGCTATCAACAATGCAGTACAATCGACGATCGAGACCGGGTGGTGCAGTTTGAAAAGAGTATTGGCTATTATCGTAATAGCAGGATCTTCTCCGCAGACAGATATTTCTCTTTGTATGTACAACCTTAGAAATTACGAACGAACCGAGTTCGTCGAAGCTGCGTACCCATGAGGCAGTCTCTCTACGAAAAGTATGGTATACAAGGGGG